TTAAACCACATCATTGCTCAGGCACTAGCCAGTAACCCCAAACCCTAAACCCTAAACCCTAAACCCTAAACCCTAAACCCTAAATATCTTTTTTTCTGTGTTCTGAGGAGACTGCGGCTTGTAGATGTTGGACGGGTCTTGATGCTTAAAGGAGACAGCAGCAAAAGGAGACACATTTGAGGCCCTTATGCAGCTGCTGCTGCTGTCTCTTCTGCTGCTGCTGCTGTCTCTTCTGCTGCTGCAGCTGTCTCTTCTGCTGCTGCTGCAGCTGTCTCTTCTGCTGCTGTCGCTGTCTCTTCTGCTGCTGCTGTTGTCTTTTCTACTGCTACTGCTGCATCTTTCACTTCTACTGCTGCTGCTGCAGCTGTCTCTTCTGCTGCTGCAGCTGTCTCTTCTGCTGCTGCTGCAGCTGTCTCTTCTGCTGCTGCAGCTGTCTCTTCTGCTGCTGTAGCTGTCTCTCCTGCTGCTGTTGTTGTCTGTTCTATTAGGTGTTGGGGTGTACGTGGAGGTGTAGTTGCTATTGTGTGTATTGTATATGCAGGCGCCACCCTATCTCTTCGTTTTCGTTCTGCTGCAACTTGTGGTTTAGAGGGTTTATTAAGTAATTCTATTCCTCTCCCTTCTCTTTCTTTTTTATCTGTCTCTTATGCTCCTCTTATATCAAAGGCCTTAATGCCTTTTGTTATGAATACAACTAAAGATATTACGTTGGCTGTATTCAAACAAAAACAATCTCTCTTCTCTGCATTACATGCAGAAGGAATGTTCTTAACTGCTAACCTTTTATACAGGTCAGCTCACGCTGCTGCTGCTGCTGCTGCTGCTGCTGCTGGTCCTGCTTCTGCTGCTGCTGCTTCTGCTGCTGCTGCTTCTGCTGTTGTATCTTCTGCTGCTGCTGCTGCTGCTGCTTATGCTGCTGCTGCTTCTGCTGTTGTATCTTCTGCTGCTGCTGCTGCTGCTGTCTCTTCTGCTTCTACTGATGCTTTTGCTCTGTCTCTTCTGCTTCGACTGCTGCTGCTGCCATCGCTGCCTCTTCTTGTTGTTCCTGTTTTTCTTGTTGTTTATATCGCTTGTTTTGCTTAGTGTTGTTATGGTTATTATGATTATTATTATTATTATTTATTATTAGTGTTATTGGGAATATTATTATTATATAAAATATTTAATTATTATATTATATTTCTTATTCTTTTTATTATTGTAATTATTTTTATAATTTATATGATTCCCGAGACTATTTTTTTTTTTTTTTTTTTTTTTTTTTTTTTTTTTT